GTGGGGGGGGGGGATATTCACAAGCACACTACAAATTTTCTAAACCTTTTTGTCAAATTCTGGTCGGCATTTACGAAGAGCAAGAAGTATTTGATCCGGACTACTTCTTCAGAATTGCAAAAAGTATAGTGACGTAGTCAAATTAGCCAAATCTAATGGAACTTTTTTTCTTATTTAATTATATTCGACCTATAAATCCGACCTATATATCCGATCTTTATATCCGACCTTTATATCCTACCTATATATCCTACCTATATATCCGACCTATATAGTATATATTCTATCTATATATCCGACCTTTATCTTTTTGATTTTTAGTTGAGAGAAGACGACATTAAATTAGTTTTATGATTCTGTTTTTTTGAGGCATTTCCGTGTTGAGGCGTTTCTATGTCACAATATCCGACATGTATGTCCGACCCATAAAACCGATATATCGGATATATACGTCGGATATATATATCCGACCTATATCCCACCTATAATATATCCTACCTATATATTATATATCCTATCTATATATCCGACCTATATATCCTACCTGTATATCCGACCTAAATTTCATACAACTTGTGCTTTTGCTGTTGTTTTCGATAGTTTCCAAATTTGTCTGCTGACGGTAGGGAGGAGGTGCAGCGACGCCATTAACCCCGTGAAATGGTCTCCAAGCCCTTGGATTTACAGATGAGTTTTTAAAATGGCCCCTATTCTTTAGAATATAATGCAGAAGAAATATATTAAAATGTATAGAAAAAATATTTAATATATGAATAGTTAAATGCTGCAATGGTTTTTGGAAATTCAAGAAAAAACTGCATAGCTATTTAAAGATTAAATATATGTATGTATTTAAAAAAAAATGTTATTGATTACTTCTATAATATCTATTCTAACGTTTAGGGTTATAGCCCGGTCATTTTAAATAATCTGCAAATACGAAGGATTTTTTGCGGGGCTCATAGCGGCCCTGCATCCCCTCCCTCCTGAGGGTTGACTTACCTGAGATTAGTTGGTTTGACCCTGCTGATTACTGGCTGGGAACTCGGGGGCTTGGTGCTATAAAAAAATTATCCGACCTAAATATCCGACCTGTATATCCGACCCATATATCCAACCTAAATATCCGACCTATATATCCGACCTGTATATCCCATTCCCACCTGAATAGCCCACCTAAATATCCGACCTATATATCCTACCTATATATCCTACCTATCCTACCTTTATATCCGACCTATATATCCGACCTATATATCCAACCTATATATCCAACCTACATATCCGACCTATAAATCCGACCTATATATCCGAACTATATATCCGACCTATATATCCGAACATATATACTCGACCTATATATCCTATCTATATATGAGACCTATATATCCGAACTATATATTCGACCTATATATCCTACCTATATATCATTAAATAATCTGCAAATACGAAGGCGGGGCTCATGGCGGCCCTGCATCCCCTCCCTACTGAGGGTTGACCTACCTGAGATTAGTTGGTTTGACCCTGCTGATTACTGGCTGGGAACTCGGGGGCTTGGTGCTATAAAAAAAAGGCTTGTTTACCAATTTGAAGAAAAAATGTTTAAAATTTTAAACTTGTGAAAAACCAAGTCAGCAATAGCACTCAAAGATGTTCTAGAAAAACAGAATGTCAAATTATATCTCATTCTTGCACAGAGTACAGAACTAGAAGTCGTAGATGAAAATCTACTCGTAAAAACATTTAATACAAAAGATCCGCCATATTTTTTTTATCCGCCTTATTCTTCATCTTTAAGTGGTATGAAAGCCTTTGTAAATCTAAATTTCAAAATATAGGATATTTTGTGATATAATAAAAAAGGGAGCTATCCCTTTTATTTGAGTTTAAATTCATTCTTGAAAGGGGGAAGAGGGAAACATAATGGTTTAACAATGATAATTTTGTAAATTGTGAAAACGTTAATCGTAAAAACTTTGCCTCTGAAGTCTGATTTTGACAATATTAGGACAAAATATTGCTTAGATTTCAGTTACAAAAATGTTACTAGCTTGTGAACCCACCTTTGCCGAAAACTAAAGTTTTTAAAAAATGCAACCGCTCATAATTAAACTTTTATATCAAGCCAAAAATGTTTCCATGGTTCTCCAAAGTCCCAAATCAAACTTTGAGGCAAATCGGTCCAGGGGTTCATGAGTTATGATCGGACAGATTTAAACAGACAAATATACAGGTTACTACTTTAAAGTTATAGATACCTTCGATTTCCAGTTATTGTCTTCAGAAAACTCTTAATAGATTTCACCTGCAGATATAGATACTATTATTAACTTTTTGATCAGTATGTCGCGTTTTTAGCTTTGAAATTACTACATTGAGAGTCTGAAAACTGTGGAATCAGACGACGACATTTAATCAGTGTTGCTAATTTATGTTGTTATGGTGCAAATTGATTTTTAAACACATGCACAATTCACGTATTTCAAGTTCCTTGGACTATCTAAAAATCATTGGGTCAAATATCGTCTTTATTTCCCACAGTTTTATGGGGGTCACTGCAACAATGAGTGGGCTAGAGTCACATTGGTCAAAATCATTAATGTACACAACAATTATTTTGCATTTCCTAGAATAAGAAATATTTTTTCCATTTTTTCAACTACAGGGTTAACCACACCGAATGAGACGGCTATGCGTAATTAATGTTTTAATATGCCGGGTGCATGTATTAAAATTAAGTGGATAGCATGTTTGGAATTATTTTACAAAAGATCATACAAAACATCGAGTTTAGGCGGGTCAAGGATGTTGACCTAGGGCTACAGAATACTATGGGTTCTGCTAACTCTGTACCCGGGTACGCTTACAATTACATCCAGGGTTCACCAATAGAACATGTCTTAAGCGGACTAAACAGACGACCCCAGGCGTGATTGATATGCGTACCGGAAGGGGAAGTGCTGAGGGTTAGGATTGCCTGGGCCAGGAGCAAACCCACCAATTTTCTTTAATTAAATTAATAAGCTAGTCAAGGCTCGTCAAATATTTTAAAAGTTTTAGGTCGTCTTTACAGTCTCATCCTTTGTGGGTAACCCTGCATGTATAAGGTTACGCACAAAGGATGAGACTGTAAAGACGACCCAAAGCTCTAAAAATATGACAATTTGAAGCTTGATTTTAAGTTTCTGCATTTAATTAAGTGTTTTGATTGTATTCTAAATGATTAAGCACAGAAACAAGTCAGTTTTGGCCTGCAAGAAACCCCGAATACAAGAAAACGGTCTAATCATATTCCGTACAATCGTCTCTGAAGTCTAATCCTTTGTGGGTAACCCTATTTATATCAAAAGAAATCGATTTTTTCTAATTTTAAAAATTATTTAACAAGTTTAGAATGTATTCCTGATTGTCAGTTTTTCCAGCTTCTTGCGCAATCAAGAAGAAATCATCCATAATTTCCTGCGTTATTCAGCAATTTTATTGTAAATCAGAACCTGACCTGACCGCCAATGTGTCCCAAAGTATTGGAATTAAGTGATACATTTTTCATTAACTTGAATACTCGCGTTATTTCTGTTTATTAACACATCATTACAGGTTGATATTTCGGAAATGTAAATAAGTAAAGACAAACAAGTCCGCCAAGAAATCGTCAGAAATCTGCGAAAATTGGATCAGTTTAATATTAGATCGGGACATCCTGATATCTGCAACGAACTAAAATGGATCTGGTGAAGGGTCTGATCAAAACCCTTGAGAACCATTAAAATTCTTGACTCTGCTGCAAAGTGATGTGCAAAAAGTAAGAAAAAAGTTCAGAAAGAAATTCTATCCAAAATTATTTCTTTCCCTGTATTTAAATCAACTTTATGGCGTCGTTGTTAGCAATTTGAAATTAATGTAGAAAAATTATAATAAACTTGATTTGATCATTAGCGGACAAAAAAGACCTAATTGTTGTAAGGATTGAAAATTAAATGATTAATGGATTTACGATAATGGATTTGCGGTTAATGGTCCCTCAATTTATTGAATAAAGGTTGTACTTATTTGGAATTTATTGCAGGCTCGAGTAAATAATTGTTTATTGTGAATACTAAAGTGGAAAAAATAAAACATGTTGATACAGTTAATCAAAAAAAATATAAATAAATAAGAGAAAAAAAAGAAAAAAGATAAAGTTGAAAATTCAACAGTTATTTTCAGCCAGGTCTGCCGGGATAAAAAAATTTTCTGTCGGGAAAATAAAACTGGTCTGCCGGGAAAATAAAACTGGTTTGCCGGGATAATAAAACTGGTCTGCCAGGATAATACAAAAATTTAAATTGATAAATCCCTGCGAAGGAGGAGCCTCGAAATATTTTATATTCCCTGAACTCAGATTTAAATCCTCATCATAACCAGCCTAAAAAACATGTTCTTTTAAAGTTAAATGGACTGTAAGCGAAATTTTAAGTGATCTTTCATTTCAATCATGATTTAAGAGATACAAACAACGGCCTCTCAACAATGGTTCAAAGGGTACCGCTGTGAATCGGAAATGAAAGGTGATGTAAAATTTAAGTTATCATTTTTGCATTAATAAGATAATATCTTATTTCAGCAATATGCAATCCAAAGGTCGTACTGTCGCAGAATTTCCTCTGGAGAGTTTAGGATTAGAACTATCAACCCTCTTGCATCAGGGACACCGTTTCCCAGATTCTTCTGCAGATCTAAATCTCAAAAGTCAGTGACAGAAACCCAGCAAATCACAATAAAACCTTTTGTTTCCAGGATTATCACTTTAAATATTTGTATTGGTAGTTACCTAGATATTATTACCCAAAATGGCCATCCTAGAGTTTCTTGAGAAAAAATTAATGAAAGAAATTAACAATTTAATCCTGTTAAACATTGGTATTCCTTGTGTATGTTGTTAATTTCCTAAATCAATAACTAAAAGAAAATTACTTTTTAATAAATTATTATAATCGTACCAAAAAATCTATTTAAAACTTGCATAAATTTTCAATATTATGAAAAATGGGATATTTTTAAAAACTTTGAAAGGGCGAACTGGCCACCTTTAAGAGTATGGTGAAAGTCTATTGTAATGTAATGTATGTATGGGACATGAGTTCTAGATTATGTATTGCCCCCCTAGGTAAGATAGTTTATCCCTCAGATTTCAGTTACAAATAGTCGTTTTTGAAGAGGGGAAAAAATTAGGCAAGGAAAACCGTAAAAAGTTTAAATATTAAAGATTTAAGATTTTCGGCAATTGGAAAAATATACTTAATTAATGAACACTTAAATTTTAGTGTTTTTTAAATAAAGTCTGAACTGATCTTTAATCTTAAAGAAATTTGTCACTTAAAATTTCAGATAAGAATTACCTGAGCTAGCTTGAGCTTCAATCTCATCTGTTCATCTTTAAGCATCTTGATTCGAGCAGCTGTTTTCAAATAATCCGCCAATCTGAGGATACAATTCTTTAAGGGGCTGTAATCGTTATTTCAAGTGACCCTTCATGCAAACAGGGTAATGACCGAAATACAACGAAACTCTTAAACCTTTGTGTATGTTTCAAGTACAGAGATATTTGCTGCGCTGTGTTACTTACTTCAATACTTCTATGTTGACTCCTAGAAATCCAGGTAGGATTATAACAGGAGCTACAGTGTGGTCCTGTATGGCATCTTTGGTTTAAATGATAGTGTCCAATCCATCCTTGAATGATTTAATAGTCTTGCTCTCTTTCAGTTCAGTTGGCAATCTATTCCAGGGTTCAACAACCCTGATTGAGAAGAAGTTGCTCCTTATTTCAGTCTTTGCTTGCCTTCTAACTAGGTTCAAATGATAAGCAGATTGTCTTGTCCGTCTTGAAGGCTCAGTCCCAACAGTTTCAAACCATATACTGCTATCCACACAGTCAAACCCCTTGAGAATCTTAAATGTTTGGATTATATCAAATCTTCTCCGTCTGGTTTCAAGGGTTTGCAGACCTAGCTCCTTAAGTTTTTCTTTTTCGAGCAGCTGTTTTCAAATAATCCGCCAATCTGAGGATACAATTCTTTAAGGGGCTGTAATCGTTATTTCAAGTGACCCTTCATGCAAACAGGGTAATGACCGAAATACAACGGTACTCTTAAACCTTTGTGTATGTTTCAAGTACAGAGATATCTGCTGCGCTGTATTGAGTTCAGTTTGTACACACTGTACGCAGCTGAATAAAAGGCAAGCCGGTTTTGATAAATTTACACACACATATCTCTGTACTTAACAAACACACAAAGGTTAAAAAGGTGCTGTTGTAAATCGGGCATTGTCCTCTTTGCATGCTCACTTGAAATTACGCTTACAGTCCCTTTAAACGGGTAGTCAACCTGAACCCAAGTGATGCTAGCCCGATACCGTTTTAAACCTTTACCTTAGTAACAATGCGGAAAAATTTCTATCTTGAAAAGATTTATATTCTGACGTTAATTTCCGTTCTTGTTTAAACTGCATAAATTGGCAATTAATTATGAAAAACCGCCGCAGTTGTAGTTTGTAAATTACCTATTTCCAGAAATAAAAATAAGGATACCTGTACTTTTTTCGTTGAGGAAAATGTTAAAAACCGGGAATGGGGTATGTAATTTAAAAATTTTAAGATTAGTTTATAATTTTGCGTGCGTTGCTCAACCTAAGATAATTCCCAACTTTTTGGTCGAACTTTTTTATCAGAAATCTAAATATGAGTATAGTACCAGTTGACTCTTAGTGAAATTTTGTTTAAATTTTACATCTATCTGAAACCCTTATGAGACCATTAATCTGTGGAATAATATTGAGAAGACAACTCACAATATGATCTTAAAACACTGTGCAGTGAACACAGACCCATATAACTTAATAAGTTGATATTTAAACATTAACAATATCAAATATGCATCAGATTGGTTAAATTTCGTCGTCGTATTCCACAGTTGAATGAAACCACTGTTCTAAACGAATATTTACCTAGGTGGTGGCATACACTGGAAGCAAAGGATGAAGAAATTGTGTAAACTAATCATTAGTGTATCCTAGATAACAAACAATATTTAGTAATAATTCCATGTTTTATTTTTTCAGAAAAAAACGGTTCCCATGTGTGATTTTGGCTAAAACAAGATAAAAATCCATAAAAAAAACTTAAATTAGTTTTTATAACTTAAAGTTTAAGGATAGGTGACTTTTAAACCAGAAATTTAGAACTTTTCTAGAGATAATGATAAAGGTTGTTTATATACAATTTTAAGTGGTGATCAGGTTTCGGTTTGATGTACTAAGTAGTATATTTTACAAATTAACATTGAACATGTACAGTAAACGAAACTCACTTAGTAACAAAATTGTAATTCATGATGTTACAAAAATGTTGAATTGCTCAACTAAAAAATCTACGAATTCTTTTCGTAAAATCTATGAAAATATCAGACTGTAGTAAACCTCTACTCCACAACAAATCCTCGAAACGTATCTATCCAGGTACAACCTGTCCGCTATTAAAATTAAGATCCACACTGTTACAAATTACAATCCCGTGAACTATCAACGCCACTACCACTGGGCGCGATCTCGATAGCTATCAAACAAGCTCTCAATCGAGCTCAAAATACCACACAGAGACACAAGCGTAGCTATCAAACAAGCTATAAATAGAGGCTCTAAATGCCACACAGGGACACAAGCGTAGCTATCAAACAAGCTATAAAAAAAAGGCTCTAAATGCCACACAGGGACACAAGCGTAGCTATCAAACAAGCTATAAATAGAGGCTCTAAATGCAACACTGGGACACAATCGTAGCTATCAAACAGGCTATTAATAGAGCTCTAAATCCCACACAGGGACACAAGCGTAGCTATCAAACAAGCTAATAACTATCGATCCCAAATTAAAGAGGACTATCTTTAGCTATATTAACAATATACAACGTAATTTAATATGGGCTCTATATTTGCTATATGACTTACCTGCCAGTGCCTGGAGAAGTATATTGAGAAAAGCGGATTTTCATGCGGATCCTTCAAGTAGGGTAGAGCAAACCAATCCTTCCACTCACTCAGTGGCTAAGATAAAAAATATTTGTTTTTCCAACATCTGAAAATTATCTGTTTTCTGGAAAAAAAGGATTAAACCCCAACACTAAAATGTTATCAAGATGGTTGACTAGTTACTATTATCCTTTAACAATTTAAGAGACCTGTAACTCTGGTGTCAGTTTCTCGAAGAATTCCCGGATTTTCTCGGTTTGCTTGTTCTGTATACAGTACACTAGGAACAGTTTTAGTACACTAGACTCTAGCTTCTTTACTGAACTTGCCTACAACAAAAAACAAGTAAAAAATGAATTGAACTAAATTGCAAAAAATGTTCAATATAAATTTTTAAAGATAACAATTTTCAAAAAATCAAAGGAAAAAAATTCAAGAAAATATTGAACAACTAGCTAGAAAACACAGCATTGTCCAGGGTACTCATAGTTACTCCAGCCGTTTACCAGCGCTTGGCAGGGGTCAATATAATTCCCTTTTCAATCCCATTTGGGATTGACAAATTTGAAAGAAATGGGGGCAAATT